CTTGCTGAAGACCTTGGGCGTGCCGTCAGCGCTCAGCTGGACGTCGCCGCGCTCATACTTTCGCTTGAATTTCTTGACAGAGAGACCGGCGGCTTCTGCAAGGCGCTCATACTCTTCGCTTGATAGCTTGGTGACCTTCTTGGCAGGGGTGGTGGCATCCTTATCGCTCTCTTCATCCTCAGCGTCCTTCATCTCGTCGTCCGAGTCTTCCTCCACGGCCTCGATCTTTGGCTTCTTTTTGTCCTTGGACTTCTTTTCCTTCTTGAGCGGAGTATCGCCATTGACTTCCTCAGTAACACCATCGGCATCCGTGTTGTATCGTCGAGTCTCCTTGAGGGTGAACCCGCCAGCTCCGACAATTTCACCAGATGGGGCGACGTTGGCGCCCTTGGGCAGAGGGGGCTTGCCCTCGAGCTTTCGGAGGCGGTTCTCCAACTTGATACGGTTACTGAGACCGAGGATGGCTCGCTCTTCCTCATCTTCCTCGTCATCGTCACCGCCCAGAGCGTCGACACGCAGGCCAAGGGCAGCCTTTGCAGATAGCATACGGGCAATCTTGCCCTTGTTGCGACCGGTGGCCTGTCCGATGAGGGAAGAGTGGTAGATCAGACCATATTTGGGGGTATCGTGCTTGGTCTTAAGAGCTCGGAAGAGAGCTTTCTCAGCACCCAATATCTGGATAGTGGAACCGGGAGCCTTGGCTAGGCTGATGAGGGATCCGGCATGGGCAATGAGTCTGGCACCGACAAGGTAGCCAACAAGGGCAGTCAAGTTGGGGGCAATAGCACGCATGCGGGTCTCCAAGTAAGAGGAGAGCTGGGTACGGTACTCAGAGTAGCGAATAACCTGCTCGGCCAAAAGCTTGATGTTGTCCAAATCTTCCTCCATGATTTCAGTACCCATGCTGATTTCAGCGGCGGCCTTGATGGCGACCTCAACTTCCTCAGGAAGTATCTCAGACAGGTCGCTGTCGGCAATGTTGGTTCGCATACCAACGGCGAGAATAACACGGGCGTAGGCCATGTTATCGTTGAGAATCTTTGCCATCTCGGGAAAATGCCAACCGTACCATTCCTTGGTTCGCATAGCGTAGACATTGAGCTCCTTGTCCATGTCGTCGATCAGCTTGATAGCCTGAATGATCATCGAGTCGACCTTGTCGGCGGAAAACTTGAGTTTATGGCGGGACATCGAGTGGGAGAGACCAAGGGACATGCGATCGACAATGTCTTGTTCCAATCCAGGAATAAGAGACGAGAGGTGCTCACGAATTCCTCGGAAGCAATCCATGGTTTCGGATCCAGCCACAGGGGTGATGTTGAATTGGGGTAAGTTGGAAATAGCGGTTCCTAGCTTCATGTCGGCGACGGCGAGTGAGGCCTTCTTCTCGCTCTTGAGATCTTCCAAAAGAGTCGTGAGGAGCTCTGGGACCTTGCCTTCCTTCAAAGAAGCGGCTTCCTCGAGGGCCATGGCAGCGCTGTCGAACTTGACAAACTTTTTCAGCTTAAGCCTGGAGCAACCTCCATGTTAGTACACCATCGCGAAGGCTTTATGTGCAGCCAAGGTTTCGTTCTCACATTTCGACTAGTTTCTCAGGGCGTCCGAGTTCGGCGGCAAGGTCCTCATTCTTGAACATTTTCTTGTCGGAAGCCTTGAACAGGCCATAGCTACATTTGTGTTAGCCATTGCAATTCAAACTTGACCAAAATTACCCAGGAAGTGAAGTAGCATTAGCAAGAAACTCACCCTGCCGGCGTCTCGGCAAGAACGAAGAGAGACATTTTGAACAAATAGTATTGCCTCCAACGATCTTGCTCGGCTCGATTGGGATCCTGCTCTCCTGCGAAGCGCAATTGCGGTCGATGTGCGCACGCCAGATGAAATGATGGAAATTTTTCAGACAAGAAGAGCTTCAGTCTCCACTCAAAATTTTTGGCTTTGGTTTCTGCACGCACAAGTGGGTACTCGTGCCACGCCCCACCATTAGGTAATTCAGCTACAGAAGCTCTCACCACCTTTGGTGGTGCTTATCACCAAGGCGGGCACATTAGCAAGGCGGGCAGGTTAGGGTTATAATATGTAAACATTTAAATATTTAAATAAATATATTATATTTAAATATATTTATTTATTTAAGTACCCTAGAGCTATTATAGCTATTCTAGTACTTCTACATG